TAAAGCAGGAATGAGGGCTAGAACAGGGATCACTACTGGTTGGGGGGAGAGTTATTATTTCAAATAGGGTGTGAAGGAACACCTCAGTGGTAGATGAAAAGTAGAAAGCAAAAGGTGAGAGAGTAAGCTGTGGTGATATTGTAGGGGATAGTACCTGCAATGTATTTTTGAAGACAACAGGGACTATGTCATGCAGAGCCTCCTGACCATTGTAAAAATGAAGATTTTACTCTGAATGAGTTAGAATCAATGGGGGATCCCCCCCCACAGGAGATAGCATAAGTACTATTTTTAAAATTAGTATACAAGTAATTTACATCCATATTGAGTTTTCATACATACTTCATAAATGAAAGAGTTTTTGTGAATATATATTCTCTTACAATACACTATATATGTACACCATATATATATATATATATACATACATATATATATATATATATATATATATATATATATATATATTGGTATATGTGATGTACCCATGAGATTATATTTTAAAGGCTTTTTCTAGCTGTCCTAGGGGGAAAAATGGTGTGGGACAAAGGGCAGAGCAAGGAGACCAGTTAGCCTACTTGTAGTGACACTGAGATGATGCTGGCTAGATAAGCATGATAGCAGTGGTGATTAGGAGACTAGGAGACATTATTAAGCTCCAGGTGTGATTTAAAGGTACACTGGACTGAGGGTACTAGCTGTGTCATTTTGGGATATAATTTCAAGAGAAACTTAAAACACAGCTTAAAGTTGTTAGAGCTTGAACTTCAAAATTTTTGCAGCTGCCACAAAAATAACAGGTTGGAGGCTGGAGAGGCGCCTCACTGGTTAAGAGTGCTTACTGTTCTTGCAGAGTGCCTTACTTCCACAACACCCACATGGGAAGGTTCCTAACTGCCCCAAACTCCAATTCTAGGAGATCCAATGCCCTCTTCTGTCCTCTGAGAGCATTTTTTTGGAATGTGGTACACATAAACTCACATAGGGACACAAATATACACATAAATAACATAAATAAATACATTTAAATTTTTAATTATACTTTATTGTATGTGGATGAGGGGTTATTTTTGGCCTAGATGTATACCACATCCATGTCTGGCAAGAGGAGGGTGTTGGATCCCTGGAGCTTGAGTTAGAGACAGTTGTGAGCCACCGTATGGGTGCTGGGAATTGAACCTGGGTCCTCTGGAAAAGCATCTCTCCAGCCCTCAGAAGTGAATATATTTTTAAAATAAAAGTTTAAATGAAGAGAAAATTTTCAGAAGGCATAGATCGTGGCGGGGCGGAATATGAGAGGTGAATTTTCTGTAAGATAGGTTTGAGAATCCTATTTAGTCATGAAAATAAAGACCTTGACTAGATTGCTGTCTGCAATCCAAGGAAAATATTTAGAAAGAATATGTAAATTCGGGAGTCATTATCTAATAATTGGAAATTTAAAACACGAACCAGAATTAGATCATAGATACTTTATAAGTACTTAAACAGTAATAAGTAAATGTATACTATTTTCTTCAATAACAAATGACTTGTACATAACAAAAAAAAGCAAACCTTCAGCTTGGCTGCAGCACACTCAAGGACCCCTTTTCAAAAGTTAGGCTCTGAACACAGGGCTTCTCCGAGGAGGCAACCTTTAGCCTTGCATGGGTCTTGCCTCAGGTACATTGCTCTTTTACCTGAGCTCAGTCTATGGGCAGCTTCACGCAGTGGTCCACTTCTAGCTGCATGGTCTCTGCTCCTCAAAGGCATAATTTTCACTCTGGCAGTTTCTTGCATTTTAATGTTCCCCTGAGCTAGTCTCTAGACACACCAGGCTGTGTGTCTGAACTGCTCCAGTCATCACCAGCTATATTAATTTGTAAATTTTGTTACTGCTTTGCTTATAAAGTCATATAAGTTTTGAGTGTTCTGCTGCAGCTCTATTTTTTCTTCTAAGCCTGCTTAGCTTTCATGTGCGCTTCTTGTGATTTTACGATGTAATAATAGATTGTTATGGTAGGGTATATCATTTCATATCACAAATATTCGCATATATGCAGTAGACATGTTGCATTTGTCCACATCATTTTAGACATCTTAACCTTTAAGAATTATGCCTATCATATAGGGTGCCAGATACATAAAATCCTTCTCTACTTCTAGAAACACTGACAAATTAACAAATGGGGATGAGCTCATGTTCATCACCTTAGAATAAACTACTTGCTTGCCCATTATCCAAGCTAGCCAAATCAAAACACACTACTTGACTGTCACATATCCTGAGACAACCAGAACTAACATCTGTCTGTCTATCATTACCCACAATAACCAATCAAAGTATAATGCATGACTTTCTACCATGACCCATGTTACAGTACCTGCCTATTCAGTGTGCCTTAAACTAGCAACCATAATATATGTGCTTCTTCATCATGACCCAAGCAAGCCCGTCACAGTACACTACTTGCCTGTCTTACATATCTCAAGCTAACCAATGGAAACATATTACCAAACTGACCAACCTAACCATAGCTAGTCAATCAGAGCATACTATTTGCCTGTCAGTTGATTGAAGCTAGCCAATCAGGAGTACTTTTAAGTTTTATTTTCTGCATGCAAATATTTTGTTGCCACATATATCTGTATAATACATGAGTGCCTGGTGCCCATGGAAGTCAGAAGAAGGCATTCTATCCCCTGGAACTGGAGTTATGGATGATTGTGAACCACTACCATGTGGATGCTGGCAATTGAATCTGTGTCCTCTATAAGAAGTGCTCCTATCCAATGAGCCATCTCTCCAGCCCCCATAGTGGTATTCTTAATGGTCAGGACCTTGCCTTATTCATGTTGATATTCCTAGGACTAATCATAATGCCTAGGTCACAGAAGCTACATAGTAAATATGAATTAATGAATAGGTGATTCTAGTAATATTAATATACTTGCCTGATCATTGGATAAGAGGATATATTGTCTTGCATACATATATGCAACTTGTTGAAGAATGTAGTATTTTTGACAGGTACGGGTTTTTTATTGAAGCTAGAAACAAAACAAAAAAATAACAAAGCATTGCATGCTAGTCAGTTTTCTGTTATTGTAAAAAAAATACCTGTGGTAATCAACTTATAAAGTGAAAAGGTTTATTTTGGCTTAGACTTTTAGAGGCTCTGTTCCATGATTGATTGGCCCCATGGTAAGATAGTATACCATAAAGCAAAATTGTTCAGCTCATGGCTGAAAAGTAATTTAAAAAGAGAGAAGCAGGGTCTCAGTACCTTAATCTGATTACACATCCCTAATGGCTTTAAATCCTCTCACTAGGCCAAACCTTCTAGTAGCACCAGGAGCTAGGGATAAATCCTTCAACACATGAGCCTTTGGAGGACATCCAAGATCCAAACTATAGCAAATTCATTGGGATAAAAATGGAAAATAAGGCCAGAAGACAGCATATGTAGTAGGGAAGCATTAGAAAGGAAAGGAAAGTGGGGAAAACACCAGTACTTTATGGAACTAAGGAGAGGAGCTAGAGAAATCGAGGGATGCCAGTATTCAGTAAAGTAGATATGGAAGAAAAGTCAAAGACTGTAAAAGATGAAAAATAGAGAGAAGCAAGAGGCAGACATGGGAAGGAAGGACCTGGATGGTAACTTTGCTGAGTACAGCTTTGGTTTTTAACTGTATGTCATGCCATCTGCAGGGTTATTGGGAAGTAGAAATGGACAAAAAAAACCCTCCTAGCTTTCACGTATCCTGTTATGAGAGAAATCTACGTTTATAATGGTGATGGGAAAGTGTGGGATGATGAGAGGGAATGTGTATTGGGGAAGATAGCCTACTGTTCTGAGTAGGCAGAGTCTTCCTTGCTTTACCAGAGGTGTAGAAAATGTGGCAGCCTTACTGAGAAAGTGCTCTCTCCCTTCTTCCCATTCTTGTTTCGTTTCCTATGAACTCTGACTTCTCCCTCTTTCAAAGTTAAAGTCACTCATTTCTATATGCTCTTTGTCCCAGTATATAATTTTTTTTAAATGAAAAGGTAGGCCAGATGTGGTGGTGCACACCTTTAATCCCAGCACTCGGGAGGCAGAGGCAGATGCAGGAATAGCTATGAGTTCTAGGCCAACCTAATCTACATTGGGAAGTTCAGGCCAGCCAAGGCTAAAAAAAAAAAAAAAGTTACGATGATAGTACTAATCCTCCCCACCCCCTGGAATTAACATTCACCCCTCAGTTTCCTGAGTGCTTGGACTGCAGACATGTGCTCCCTCCTCCGGTTTGGTCTCAGTTTTGGTATAATGCAGACAGGACTGTCATTTCATCACCCTTTCCCCAGCAGAACAGGAGACTGTTAACAAGGAAACACCGTGTCCCAGGGTGGAATCTGGAGCCTTGTTTGATGGAGGTAATACCGATTGTTTGAGCTCATTCCACACTAGGGCATCCTAACGGTGCGTGCCCAGGAAGCACCAGCCCCAAAGCCAGTTTGGGCAGAGCCTCTCTGCTCTTCTTACCGAGGGTCTAATGAAGAGGGTGTCCCTTGCTACATCATGAGTTCACCATTCCTCCAGACTAGTTTTCCAGGACCCTGTGGCACCCGCAAGGGGAGAATATCAAAAGGGGGTCTTAGGAGACAGGAGTAACTAGTGTGTGGCCAATGATGGGCAGTAGGGTACCTCAGGAATAGTTACTAGTGTAGAAGAGATGGTACCTTGGCCATATCCAGCTGAGAGGTCAGGTGAGGAGTGAATCCCTGGTAGATCCAGCAAGCTGGAGGAGCCAGCCACACCTTCTCTAGGCTGGATGGGTTCTGGTGCTACCACAAGGGGGAGAATGAGGATGGGGTGGTGGACCTCTGTGAGGGTTTGGTTAGTGCTGAAGGTCTTGGCAATACCGAGCCCAGATGGCATGTGGAAGGTGTGTAGGGCTTGCATAGACAGCGGGAGGACAGCAGGGACCTGGAGAGGCTAGGGCCAAGAGATGAAGGAGCCTTGTGACAGGAGCGCGGATGTGTGCTGGGGTGGGCTGTGCCTGCCTGGATTGTGGCGCCGCCGCCAGGTGGAGCCTGGCACTGAGCCTGCGGGTAGGGGCGGCTGGAGACCGCCTCTCTGCGCGGTCCCTCTACCTGCTGGGGGCGGGGAGGAAGAAAGGCGGGCACCAAGCGATAGGGTGAGTCACTCCTCTCCCTAGGGTTAGGAGAGGGACTTCTCTCTCTTCCCGGGGTCTGCGCTTTGGCTCCAGGCTCCGGGCTCCAGTTCCGCGACTCCCTCGGCTACTCTCCCGGGCGGCGCGACTCCTGCCTCCCTTCTGAGGCTGCTCCAGTCGCCTTTCTATATAGGTGAGGACTAGGTAAGTTCTCGCCATTTGATACCCTCTGTTAGGGTGCTGGCTGCGGGGGATGGGGGAGGGTCTTCCAGTCTGTGTCTCTGTCTTCTTCCCTTGCTTCCTTCCTCTGGTTCTTTCCATTATAGACAGAAAGTTAGATTTTTTAAAACGCGTCAGAGAATATTAAATCTGTGCTTAGACTCCCAGCCAAACCAAACTCTGGAGCCATATTCTTAATCTCCCGGGTACCTTCAAATGTCCTGATGCGACGTTTATGGGACAAGGTTTGTTTGATTTGTTTCGTCTTTGCTTACTCAACCCCCCTCCCCTTTTTGTTCCTGGATAATTTTTAGAGGGGGCAGGAGAACTGTGCTGGGATCCTTTGCCGGGGCGCTTCCTTCATTCAGCAAGGTGGCTGGGTGTTTCATGTAGCCTGAGTTGGGATCTTGGGAGAACCATTCTAACCCAGGACACAGCAGAGCTGGCAAAGAACTGCAGTTATTGCATACCTATAAAGTGACCACGGACAGAATCAAAATATTTTGGAGGCACAATCTGTGCCAATGTAACACCAATGTTGAGGGAATTCATTGAAAGACGCCATGGAATATTCTAGGAAAAAATTGGAGGTTATTGTTGTTTTTGTATTTTCTGTTTTCAGAGATGCTTCAAAGCCTATTATTTCCCTTGCAGGAAAATCAATGAGAACCTATTCTGAGTCTTAGAAGGATTTACCTGTACAAAGCTACATGCTAGTTTGTCCTCTATCAGTGTAGGGAGTGTCAAAACTCATTGCTTTCAGTAAAATCAATTTGGGGAGGGGGTGTTTCTCCTTTCACTACCATTAAGCAGCAAAATGTTTCTGTGACTATTAAATAGACACTAATTATTGCTGTCGTTTTGCATAGAAGTACCAGGGAGAGGATGCTGAAATGCATGAATCTGTGGCTTATGCTGACAACTGGTTGTCAGTATTATTCAGTGTGATGTGATGTTAACAGGTGGTCTTAATTCATATCACAAAATGATTCTGTTCTAGACAACTTACCTGATGGTATAGTACCAAAAAGTACTTCTAAAATCCAGTATTGCCTTTTATCTTTAGGGGGAGAAATATAGGTGAAGGAATATTTTCTGGCAATTTATTTAGCCCCTGATCATAGATCACTGGTTTTGGAATTGTTCTGTGGATTGCAATCTGTGGCCATATAAACAAACCCCTCTTGTTCTTCTTGGAAGAAAATTGGTGAAACTTTAGATGGTTAGTCAGGTCACAGGGAGTCATTGATAATCCTCCTTCAAGAACCTCCAGTAAGCTCTTAAAAATAAGTTATATTTCTCACTTCCCTGATAACCTAGCTCTTTATGCCTCTATCATGAGTCTTATTCACATTTTTATCACTGGAACTTAGCAAAGTAGAGGTATGTTGGAAATATGAGTGAATGATTAAATCATTTTGCAGTTCAGATTTCTCAAATTCTACATGGGCAAGTTTCCTCTTCACTCCTAGAATATAATAATATAATCCATGTAATTCAATGGTATCCATAAAGTATAGATCATCAGATTATACTATTTTGTAAATCAATGAGAATATGAATATATACAAGTGTGTGCATTTCACACACTTACACATATTTATTTGAAAAGTGACTTTAGCAGGAGAGAAGTCTGACAGCAGGTGAACACAGTGGGACAACAATGTCAATACCTTATCTTTAGGATTTCAAAATGGCTTCAACCGCTTCAGATATGATGTCCCTATGCCTTATCCAAGGACAAGAAACCAAGGGTAGAAAGGGGAGAATGTTTTCCTTTGTGTAACTTCCTCTTTTCAGAGGAACGAAAAATAGTTTTCCTCAAAGTTTCCTAACAAATGCTCCTTTTATCTCGTTGGCAGGAGCTGGGGCATATAAACTGCTCTTAGTGGCAAGAGTGGAAATAGCAAGACTTTTAGCTTCTATAATGGGAGGCTTATTGGGAGGGGTGTTGTTGATGGCTTTGGAGAGCTAACCAGAAGGTCTGCTTAGAATACTATGACAATGGTTGAAGTTGTGATTGTGTCATTGGTTGGGCCAAGTAAAATAAAATATTACTCAAGGTAGCAAAATCACATTTGGAAAGGATTCCCCCTGCCCCAAATTGTATCCTATTTTAGTTATGTCTATGAAACCTTCATGTGTTCAACATTAATCCCAATCATGAGATTTTAAGAGGGTGGAAACTTAATCTGACTGTGATATTTATAAGTAAGATGTTTGGGAAGAGATTAGGATTGGATATGGTCATCAGGGTAGAGCTTTCATCACTGAATACTGGTGGCTTCATAAGAAGAGGGAGAAGGAGGCCAGAGAATGCTATGTGCATGCATTTTCTGTCAATTGCTTTGTGAAAACCTGCACTATCTTAGGACTCTGCCAGCAAGATCACCACCAGTGTTGGGTCTATGACCATGAATGACCTTGAACTAAATAAACCACAAACACACACACACACACACACACACACACACACACACGATCAAAAATGGATTAATACATTAACATTCAGAAAATATATTGTATATATTCATATTCACATATAAATCTTACATGACCTCCATTAATATTAAATATAAATCAGATCCTCCAGTTCTTGAAACACAGCAAACTTTTAATAATTAGTCATTTGAGTAGATTGTTGGGTTTGAGAGCTACAGGGATAAGGAAAAAGTGGAAAAGCTTTAGCACGTAAACGCTGTTTAGAACTGTGGCACCAGAGCCCTGGTGTGAGGATTTATAGAATCCAAGTCTTTCATTTGGATCCTAGGAACCTTGAAGGCATCTTGATGGGAGGAACAATGAAAACCTAGCAAAAATAAGTGCTGACAACTTAGGTCAACAGATTTTCTTGAGGTGGGGGGAACTTCTCTATGCCTGTACTGTGGAGGATGTCCTACCAAAGTGGGGGGGCAATAACAAAATAAAAGGCCAAATAACTTAAACTGTTGGTGTGTAAAGAGAACATTACCATCACAAACTTGCCAGCTGTCCTTAATGTATAGAAGGCCCACTTTTGGGAACATAACAGCGGGAGACAGGATAGGCAAGGGTCAGAGACTGGAATTTTAGATTTTAGCGCTCTGAGTCTTGGAAGGTTTGCCTGATAAGCCTGGTGTAGATATCAACAACTTTCAAACATTGCAGCACAGTAACAATTCCCAGGGAGCTTTTTCAAACCCAGATTCATGGGTTAATCCTTAGATCACTTATGTTGGAAACGTTGGGAATGGGAACCAAACATTATTAGTGTTTTTAAAAACGCCTTCTAAAATTGCCAGTACCTACTTGAGTTTGGAGACTCTAAATTTTCTGGAACTGCCACACTACATGCCACAAAGGAAATGTGACAAAGAAAATAAATTTGTTTTCCCTGAGTCCTGGAGATTAAAAGTCTAAGATCAAAGCACCAGCGGGGTTTCCTACTTGTGAAGCTGATGGCTTTGATTTGGACATAGCTGCCCTCTTGCTGGGTTAGTTTATAGCCTTTCCTTGGTGCAAATCTGTGCTGCGACATCCACTTTCCAAGGACATAAATCACAGTAGGTTTACTCTAATCACCTCATTTTCATGTGATCACATCTTTAAAGGACCTGTTTCCAAACATAGGTGTATTCTCAGGTCCTGCCTGTTAGAACTTAAGCATAACAACACGAAGAAGGCCACAGTTCAGCCCATAACAGAAAGTGGGGTACAGCATGGCAGTTCTTACATTTGAATGTGCACATGAGTTACCGAGACACTTTATTAAAATGCAGGGGCCACTTCTTAAGGTGAGGCATGAGAGTGCACAGTTCTTACACATTCCTGGTGACATGATGTTGCTGCCTCATTGATTGTTTTTTGGGTAGTGTGGTCTGTGTAGATCAGTGGCAATCAGACTTTAGCAGTCACCAAGCTCACCATGAAGAAATGGTTAGGAACAGGTTTCTGGTGTCTGATTTAGAATTTGTGATTCCATTAGTTTGGGGGAGAGCCCAAGAATTTGCGTTTCTAACAAGTTTCCAGATGACATCCATGTCACTTGTCTAGGGATGATGGTTTGCAAGCCACAGATCACTGACATTTTGATATTTTATGGTATTGGTGAGGTCAAGGTCATTCCATATATCATGGTATGTGAAGTTTATCTATGATACTCACTATCTTAACACTGGACAGTATTGCATTTTATTTTGTCAAGATTACCTCCCCAGAGAGCAGAGGAAAATGTGAGAAAATGCTTCATTGGGATTTTTTACATGTCTTATAGAAACAGAGGTAGGTGACTATGTGTAGGTTCACTTGTCTCTAGTCATGTTCTCCAACAAGAGAGCTAACTTGCAGCTTGCTATTTTTACCAGCTTGAAGATGATTGTGTAAGACTTCTCCTATGTGATTTAAAAAGGATTAACCACTCTAGAGAACGTATGTCTCTCAAAGGGGCAACGAGTTTTTTCTCAAAACACATTAATTTTAAATAATTTGTTATTTAGTCCCATTATCATTTCTACACGAGACCCACAGCATCTCTTCCCCAAAATAACTGGAGATGAGAAAAACATGTTTCTTGTTCATTGAGAGTAAATTTATTTCTGTGGCTGTTTTAATCACTTATAAAAGATGTGGCTATCTCTTTTATACTATCTTCACATGAATATAAACATATTTTCTACATATTTTCATTATTGTAAACGTTATGCTTCATATGCATTCATTTGTAATTCAATAAAACAAGATTACATTTTTAAAACATTAATTTTATCATTTTAAATTATTTGGGGGAGGGAGAGTGGGTATGGGTGTGTATGTGGGCATGTGCATGAGCACACAAGTAGCAGAAGAGGGCATCATATCTCCTGGAGCTGGATGTGAGCCACTCGATGTGGGTTCTGGGAACCATACTTGCGTCATCTGCAGGAGCAATATGCACTCTTAAATGCTGCCTCTCCACCCAACCCATTTACTCTGGAACTAGATACAAAGAATGGTTTTTGCTAAAATTT